CCTTGGCGGGATGTCAGTCACGTGATCAGCGCCCCGCGTTGATCGTTACCTTCTGACGTGGTCGTCGGTTGGCGTTCCGCGCCAACTCCTTCATCAAGGGTGGAGTTCCTTTTGTTGCTTGTAACAATTGGCCCCTATCCTCAAGAGCATGGACCCTTCAAGAACATATTTTGAGTCCACGTACCATCTTCTATGGGCATCGCACACTCAAGTGGGAATGTGTAGAGATATTTTGTGACGAGTTGGCTGGTACCATAGGGGATCATACGACAGGGAATCTTGATTACATGACACAAAAGGAACTCTTATCTACGCGACCCATTGACGATCCAGGCGAGACATCCGAGAAAGTAGACCAGGTCAAAATATTCTCCGACACCCTTTGGAGGTGGGTGGTATTGATACAGGAGTATAGGAGAAGAGACCTCACGCAGGCAAGTGATAGGATCATGGCCTTTTCTGGAATAGCACAAGCTTTTCAAGCCGAACACGGCCTGACCTATCTAGTTGGAATCTGGAAGGAACATCTGCCGCGCTCGCTGCTGTGGCATATCTTCCACTCAGAAAACAGACCAGAACCCTTTTCTCTGATACCCTGGGAGCCACCATTGAAGTCTGCACCAACATGGTCACTGTTCGCAGGACCTATCTACTCGAATCGGGACGACATGCTCTACCAAGACCTGAGCCTCCTTGCGAATCGCATCCTATTTACGGCGAGGCTTGTGCAATTCAGGTGGTTGAAAGCGCCTGTCAATCACATCCCTTCAATGGCGTTTCATGACTTCGAAGGGTTACAAATCACACTCGAACTCATGACGATGAATGTTTCATTCTCATTGAGAGATCCGCCCCCTAAGAACCAACTCTACAAGGTTCGCTGCAAAAGCACAGAAGTGGGATTAGCTTCCCTGCTCAAAGTCAAAGAAGAGTTCGTGAAGGTCTCGTGTCATTTTGACGATTTCAGACATTTCGAACGACCTCCTGTTGGAGTTCACATTGCCCTTATCGAGGAGGGATGGTCCAATGACCGTAATGAGTACTGCTTCCAAGGACTATTCATAGAACCTGGAGCAGAAAAGGACACGTGGAAGCGAGTCGGCTACTGCGAAGGAAATGCTTGGCCTGATAGCTCACGTTGTAGCGAGCTCAACTTGGAGTTAGCTGCAGAGGAAACTGTTCCAAGCACTAGCACTCCTATATCGGGCGGAGAGTCCATGTTTTTGCGTATCGAAGGAGCGAAGATGGAGACCGTTACTTTGGTGTGAGTGTTCCCCAGTGACTACGCTCACGTCACCAAGTCACCAAAGTTCAATAACATCTTCTCCATCAACATGGGTACGCGGGTGTGAAGATTTCGTAGTTGACTGTAAAAAGGCCCTTCTCTTGTGGGAATTCTGAGTTGCTCATTCTTCTCGTGGACGATATTGTGAGCCTACGTATATATACGAAGCAGCTCTTTTTCAATGAGCTTTGCTTAGTAAACGAATAAAGTGTGCCTACCTTCAAAGTGTTCTAGAGCTGGGCTGAGTAGAAACGGAGACGCCTACTCTGGTCAGAGAATCCCTCTCTCTTGTCAATTCGTAGTTCGCAACAACTTCTGGAGTGATCCCGGGCGCTGGTGAGCTTACCGAGGGTTTCATGGAGGAAATTCTTTTGGAAAGGTGAAAAGCAAGGATCACGTCTAGCTCATGCGGAAGTGCAAAGTTATGTACGAACAGGGGGGACATGGCTACATGACCATTGCCGGAGCTAAGAAAAGTAGAATAGAATACAGGTTGAAGAATGCATACAGCGGCCAGGCAAGATGCCATGAAGCTCAGTTAGAAAACAGACAGACTGATCTAGCGTCTATCGCTCAGTAGTGTAACGCAAAGTTCCTTGCCTGCTTCTTCCCCTTCTTCCACGCGGTACTCTCACTCGTCCCATTAACCTTCTTCGCCAACTCCGCATCAAACTCCGTAACGACACCCTTTCCAACCGGCTTGCCGAGGTTATCGCTCATCGGCCTGACAACATCGCACCTCAATGCCTGCGCAGGGCTCATGCGCTCCATCTTCGTGTTGTTCGTCTGTATGAAGAGCCTTTCGCGCGAATCGGCACCAGTGTACGGCTTCCACTCAACAGCACGGTTAGCGCGGTCAGTGTTGGGGTCCAGGTTGCGGATGAAGCTGGTCCAGTAGCTGCGCACTTGCTTGATGATGGGCGCGTTGGTGGTGAAGTAGCTGGGTGGTTCGCCGCCGTCGGTGCGGTTTACGCCCCAGAAAGCGTATGCGTTGACGGTGTGCCAGGCACCATAGCCGGCTGCCTCGTCGGCTGGGTCTTGTACGGCGTACTTGTAGTTGTACGTCGGTACGTCGTCGCGTGCGATCGCGTTCTGGATGTTGCGGGTCGGGCAGTGGGTTCCGATGTCGCCGATGGCGTCAGCAGCGTGTCGCCAGTAGAGTCCCTTGCCGGGGAATGAAGGCTTCGCGGGCGTCATGTAGAGATCATCGATGATCGAGATGGAAGAGTTGCTCAAGCTTGGGTCTTGGTTGGCTACCCATTTGACTGCATCGGCTGTGGTGTTGAGATCTTCTGGCGCGTTGTACTTAGTGCCTTCTTGAGCGCAGGTGCCCATGATTGTCGGAACTTTTGCGTACTTGCCCTGGTCGAAGAGGTTCACAAGCGAGTCGGTGTAGAGGTCGCCATCGATGTTGGGGTTGAACCAGCAGTTGGAAGAACGAATAGCCGACTCGTTCAACGCACGTAGACAGGAAAGGCCGTCCGTTGCATTGGCGCAACCCTTGTCTTCGAGCAAGCACTGGTATTGTTCCTCGCCCAATTCCGGAGTGCGCATCGTAACCCAGCCACCCGATTCCATGATACCGCCAGCAAACAGCTTCTTGCCCGTGTTGGCCGCCATCATGAGCGCAACAGACGATCCACCAGCACTGACTCCGTCAAGAACAACATGGTCTGGGTCACCACCGAATTGGTCGATATGCTCCTTGACCCACTCGAGGAGCTTGATCTGGTCGCGTAGCCCAGCGTTAACATCGCCACCTCCTGCTTTAACCGCTTCGCTGCTGAGGAAGCCGTACAAGCCGACGCGGTAGCTGAATTGAACAAAGACGACCTGGCCATCTGCTACGATCTCAGTGGGATCCCAGTTCGCGCTAGACTGTGACGAGAAGCCACCTCCTTGGAAGAACACCACAACTGGCAGCTTCGAGTCGACGCGGGCCTTGGAAGGCGCATACACGCTCAGGTAAAGACAGTCTTCAGCAATGGTGAAGCGGTCGTTGGGTCCAGAAACAGTCCAGTCGTCGGGACGGCTAGGTGGGCATGTTGCACCGTGTCTAGTGGCGTTGATGAGACCGGAGACGATAGGGTCTTGCGGTGCCGCAAATCGGCGCTCACCAGTAGGTGGTGCGCCATACTGGATGCCTTTCCAGGCAGAGACACCAAGCTCTGAGTCGACGACGGCTCCCTGATACTTTGCGTAGCCAACATCGACGAGAGTGTTGACGGCGTGCGCTACCGAAGAGAAGCCCGCTCCGGCGGCGAGTAATTGTTGAAAGTACCTCATCTTCAAGATGAATACTGATCAGATAGAAACGAATGTGAATGAGCGGTGCTCTGAGAAAGAATGGATAGGTGCGAAAGGCACGAAAACTGAAGAAAACGAATGTAGAAACGATTGACTGGTGCATCGTTTTTTCCCTACCTATGTTGGCCATATAAACCTACCCCTCTGGATCTTCATGGAAGCGTTCGAAACATATTAAGCCCGTTATAGCTGGGTTATCATATACATGTTGCGTTCGGTCCGTACGCTGAATGAGCGTGGAAATTGTGCGTTAATGTTTCTGCGTTGTTCAAAGTCGGGCCGTTGAGCGATACGGCGATTGAGCTGTTTCACGGTGGCATGGCAGGGCGGATAGGGCCCGACCTAACTTGAAGCAGAAAGACGCCATGACTCTCAGGGTCTTTGCCTAACAACCGATCATGTTCGTCCGCAAATCACGGTCTCCGCTCCGCTAGGAGACGGTTTGAGATGGAATGTTGATGCGTTGATGCGAAGGAGCGAACGCGCGGGGAGGTTGACAGCCACGCCAGACATGGTTATGTAAGCGACCTAAGAGATTGCGAGGATTGCCAAGCTGCACCTAACCCGAGTGCCACTTTACAATCTCATTCACGGAATTAGGAAACCTATCGTACACCGGAGTATTTACATCGTGTTCCGCCCATGATGCAGCCCTAACACCAGATCTTCGGATTGCGAAAGTCCGACATGAACGCCTTAGCCATATCTTGATCGCCAAAACCTTTCCGTAACATATACCTGTCCAAATCGCGACTACAAATTGGAGGCTATATTGCGTTCATGCCACCACTCATACCCTGAGGTAGTGAAGCGAGACCAGAATGGGTAACCTCCGGCGAGGAAGTGTTCTCGGTATACGCGTTGAGTGTACTCAGCATAACATCCGGATGTATATCCCAGAGGTCTCCGGTCTTCATTACGCGCGTCGGCTCTACCCTCATCAAGTGTCGTAGGTGTGTCGTTCCATCTCTTCGACTTCTTGGCGAACTTAGAACGCCGGTGCCGGTCGCGCATAGGGTCTGGCCGAGCTTTGACATACAGAGCCATGTCGTTGTAGAAGTGGGCATCGACCAAGGCAAACAGCTTGCGAATCCTTTTGGCGTAATGCTTCGGTAGACTTGGACGTTCGATCTTGATCCATTCGACAAGGCTCCTGACCTCGTCGAATTCCCAGGTCGTCCATAAAGAGAACAGGCCTCGAAGCTTTCGTTTGGAGCTTCTCCTCACTCCATACAGTTTCCGAATCTCGATGTATAGCTGTAGCCGAAGGAAGGCACGGAGTATACGATGGTGCTCGACTTTAGACAATGTGTCGGCACCGTATCGACGAAGGTCTCCGGAGGCATACCGAACTGCAGCATTGCCTATCGTTATCTTGGCGAATTGATCCGTCAAGGTTTCTGCATCGACCATTTTTGATACTTTCGAAGAACGGCGACAGCCTGACTAGAGCTATCTACAGACACGTGTGGGTTCTCATCGACGAGGTTGTTTGCGAGAAACTCCGCTAGTTCGTGTGAGCGTAACTTGTTCGTGTGCGTTGCCAGTAGGATTGTAGTAGTCAGGATTTGCCGAAGCTGACCAGCGAGATTGTCGTGTCGCTTGACTGCCCTAAACTGCGTATTGAAGTTGCAGCGCACTACCTCTCTGACTTCCGGGTGTTCAAGAAGTGTGTAATAAGCTTCGAAATGCCCATCGATAATGAGCAGTTCCAAAATATAGCATCGTAGCTCAGTCGGTAAGTCGAGCATCAGATGTAGGCCATCATCAGTCGCGTTGTCGGATCCAGGTGTCACTATTGGAAGCGGCATGGCGCAAGAATTGGAGATGTTGTCCTTGTGAGTAATCGTCGTGAGTATCTGGGTGCGCTGAAGCTAAGGGAGATTCGCGCGAGAATCGTTTTGTGGGTGTTGAGAAAAGATGGGAAAGCTTGGGTGTGGCTATATACTCGACCCCAGTGGCACCTCCTTTGGTAGCGAGGACCGAGCCATCCATCGTTTCCGTATCTCAGATGATTCCCAAACGAGTACGTATTCTCGAATGAAAAAGAAGCTGGTGGTATGGCGTACATGACCAGGTCATGCAGGGGCTCAGAGGTATCCAAGTAGCACACGCAAGGCAACGGTAGCGAAGCTAGGTAATGTAGCCTTCCAGTCAAACTTTAGGTACAACTGTTGACTCCCACGCGCCCCTTGTCGTCTTCAACTCTTAGATTACGTATCTTGCCTGTGGATGATCATTGTTCCCTTGCTCATCTATTCATTACATACGTCTCTCGGCAAAGGCTATGCCAGAGTAATCAATGCATGCTGCCACTTACTCGACATCACACTCATCTTCCTCCACCTCTTCGCGACCTCCGCGATATTCTCCCCGCTAACATGCACATCGACCACATTGATCCTAAGCTTCCACACTCCAACCCTCCTCCACGTACCTTCTTTACTTCCAGGCACCAACATTAACCCAGCCAGCCGCCGCTGAACGTTATTTTTGCCCGCTGTCCTCGCAACCTGGAATTCCGCCATCAACGCATAGATTGCGTTTCGAGGCGGCGAAGGACGGCCAGCCGGATCATCAGGATAGTATTCCAAGACTGGTTCCCAACAAAAACTGCTTCCAGAAGAACTAGCAGTATGTTGCTGCAGCCATCGCATCTGTGTCGCCAGGTCAGCTGGCCAATCCGCCTTGACAGGCAAAACCAACGCCGCAATCGTGACTTGCAGGCCGGAAAAGTCAAACAAACTTCCCTCTGGTACACGATCTCTCCCCAGTCCCACAAATCTAAACCCCTTGACTTCTGCCCAAAAGACATCGTCCCAGCACACAAGCTTCGGCTCGCTATAACTTTTACACCGCACCGCCAACTCGTCATCTCCAAATAGAAAGTACAGTTGATAGTACCTCCATATGGGAACCGAGAACCACGACCAGCTCGGTAGTTCTGGTTGGACAACACTTTCTTCAATTTCAGTTGTCCACACCGAACTAGGTAACCCACCATTCTGCAATCCATTCTCGCGACGAACAAGCGGTACCATTTTCTTGTCAACATACCAGAGGAGTGCAATAGGTATGACTTCCCACCATAAGCCCGCTAGATAAGTCAATTGCCCCAAGTTGGAAAACGCACGCGCTACACCAGCAAAAGCAATGATTCTGTCTTTTTCAAAAGATAGTTTGCGAGACCGATATTCGTCGACTAGATTTTGCCAATCCATCATAAAGGACAAAACCGCAGGTTCACTCAGACTGCCTCTCTTGTCCCTCAAGGCACTCAGCTCATGTATAGTTTCGGGAAAGTATCGCAATTTTCCTCTGTCCTTGCGCTTGGGATCCTGAAGTGTGGTGGCATGGACGTCGGTAATTGGACCGAGTATCTCATCGTAGAAACCTTCCGAACATTGCCACATGAGATTCTTGTGTCCAAGAAGCAAAGTCCGTGGTGCTAGGAGGTATTCCTGAAATGTCCATGCGCGGTTGAAAAGAGGCCAACTGCGTTGCACGAGCCAGTCTTGGGCTTTCTCCTCCGGTGCGTAATCTCGGCGAAAAGAAGATTTTGTGTGTTCCAAGTATATACCGGGTGTTTGCGAAGATGGAGAGCGGAAGACACATGGGTTCCAAACCCGCGGATCGTCACGTTGGCTGGGTTTAGTGGGTGAATGCGGCGGGAAGAGAAAGGCGAGATTGGCCGTTGCATTCCCGTACACGATGGCCATGCGACGCGCTTCGTGGGCCCAGTCTTCGGGTGAGTCTTGGATGATGGTCAGACTGTCTATCCAAAGGTACTTGTATCCAAGGGCAAGAGTAACGCGCATCGCTTCTTTATACACATCCGAGGCTTCAAACTCCGCACGTGGAATCTCCTTTTGAAAGTCTTTGAGATTGGATCGCAGTAGGCGAAGCTGCCGCCTGTGGTTATCTCCCCACATGTAGCTCAAGACAAGATAGTCGAACCGTTCGTTTTGCATGTTACAACGGAGGTGGATGGTGGACTTTGTAATTTCAAGGACTCGCGTTGGTCGTTGCTGGGGAGTGTTGATTGTGCTCCTGTGAAATTCTTTACAGTTTGTGTGGCCTCCAATACAGGTTTGAAGCCATTGTTTGGCTTTTGACATGTTATCGCTTGCAAGAAGCGGTGCTTCCTTTGCGGTAACGTGGCTGTCGAATGCTCCTATGCTGGCGTCTACTCTCGATCGTCAGCCTATGAAAGCACAGGAAACGCAACTCCCAAACTCACTATTGTAAGTCCGGAGTCTGAACGTGGCAAAAGATTTTCCTTCCTCTGCCATCTTCGTTTTCCCCTTCTCAAGAACCATCCTGACCAAGAGATCTGTCCCTTTTTGCGTTTCTGGGCAGAAGTACACTCCTACGTCGCCGGTAGGACGTATCCCGAGTTCAGCTCCAAGCTGCAACTTTGCAAAGACCATCTTACAAAAATGGCAAGACAGCGCTGATTGTGAAAGTTGAGTGACGGTAGATAAGCTCAAGGCAGGCCACGACGAAGGAGGTTGTCCATGGGGTCTCTGCAACCAATCCAAAGCACTGCATTCTCTTGACAACTTGCGACATCTTTCACATAATAGGTGAAGAGGAACTGATGTCTTGCGTGTTGGTGATGGGGTTGACGAAGAAATGTGTGAGGACGCTGAATCGCGGCGGAACGACGACATGAACGAAGGCATGGATGGTTATACACTTAAAGGGAGAAAAATGAGATGAGACACAACAAGCCCTTTCTTATCCTTATAGTTACTTGTACGCAATTTCCTGTATCTTCGATGAGGCATGATCGTCCCAGGAGCATACTGAAGGGGGTGGGCGCTTACTAGACGCCCAGTGAGCGAGCCGCTTGTGTGGCACAGCAACACGCCCACTTCTGCATCTGCATCTGCATCTGCATCTGCATCTGCATCTTGCGTGGACGAATTTGAGGTGAAGAATTTTCAAGAATGACCATTCAAACACAAGGGGTTGATGAGGTGGCAATCGTAGCGGAGACATTTTGGTACAAGGAATGAAAAAAGAGGCGTGCAGAAGATGAAGTCGGATACGGAGACAAGGAAGTATATACTGAACATCAATAAATAAGGATTGGAAAGAACAACATGAAACGTCGAGAATAAATCTCGAAAAACTAACATCATATTGGGTATCTATCAACACCCTTCATCGCAATCACAGTCTTCTCATAACCAAGAAGCCCTGCGGCCAACCAATCTAACCGGAAACGCCAGTCACGGCAATGCATATAAACAGTACCGCGTCGCTAAATATATATCAGGACATAAAAGAGATGAGGTTCATCGCTGCAACAAGCTATGCGAACATCCTGCCGTCATGCCGGAGTGAGATGAAGGCAGGGGCCAGGGCGAGCATTGTACCGTGCTGAAACTACCAGGGTCGGAGGTTTGATGTGATCCGATGACATAGTAACGCCGATGTTTCACCGAGGTGAACAGTGAGAAGAGACCGCGAGGTGGGTTTCACGGTTGAGGTAGGTAGGCGGGGATATCTCATGGTCTGAAGATATTTAGAGGATACGACGTCTAGAGGATGTTAGTAAGTCTACGCATGCTTGGCTGTAGGTGGAGGAAGGGAACTTACTGTCTAAACAACGTCTCGAGCGCAACCGCACTCAGCTCACTATCATCCGGCAGCGCATCAACAAGTGGAATGATATCCGCAAACTTCTCGCCGCCTTTGTATGCTAGTACAGCTGGCACACCCGCGTCCTCGATCTCTGCGTCGTCGTTATACATCTTGACGAAGCGGACAGTGTCGTTGCGTTTGGCGACGTGGAGCATGCACTCTTCGAATTGACGACTCATGTCGGACTGTAGATGGGTTAGTTGAAGTGAAGTATGCTGGAAAACCATCGTTGCTTACGTTGGCATCGTAAATAAAGACAACAACCACAGTCCCAGCCGCCGTCTTATCAACAGCATCCAGATACCCCTCTCCATCGACAAGCGGCATGCCGCCATATATCCTCCGACTCGGACTGTTCGTCCTCGACCGTATCCTCTCGCCAACATTCTGTAGCTCACGTAGTCTTGCCTCACGCCACTGCCTCATGAAGCCCTCATCCATATCATCCTCGCTCCCCGACGAAGCGCTCTTCTCATCCCGATACGCACTAACATTATACTGCGCTGGCTGCGCCGCACTCTTGCTCTTCCACGTGAACCGCCTCGCCTGTTTCTTAGCCTGCTCAAACGCCTGCGCATCAGCAATGACACCTTTGGGACCGGTGTTTGCTTCCGAGCGGAGGTTCGGCATGTAGTAGTTTGCCCTCATGTCGGCTGGGATGTCGAGTTCGTCGTCTGTATCGACCTTTTCGAGGTAGTCGTTTGCGCGGCCCGGGGATTCAGGGTCGCTGATGTCAGAGTCGTTGTCAATGTCCTCTGGGTGTGGGTTGCGGTCGCCGAGGTCTTCGTTTCTGCGTATGAGGTCGTTGAATTCGTCTTGTGCGGCGGTAGTCGTCATGACGAAAGAGAAAAAAGAAGCGGGACCCGACGATGGGATGCCCGGCTGATATAGGTTCGTATGTGTGGAGAAGGGGAGTGTCAGCTGTAAAGGCGTCTGTGTCCGGTGACGCGTTGGGTAGGGTGCAAAAAAGGAAAGGGAGTAGTTGCGTTGCAAGGTTCACGGTGGTTCGGGTTTGGGGTCGGTGTCGTGTCGGTCTGTCTAGGATGATGGGATCCAACTAGCGGGCAGGGCTTGGCGCGTGGGCTTGCAGGGCTATTTTCGTGGGTTTCAGGCTCGCAATTGGCTGTGCGTGGTGAGGGCGCCTGGAGATTGGTGAGAGGAGGCCTCGACGACGACAACGTGCGTTACGTGGATAACGTGGTCGATGCGGTGCGGTAGGTAGGGATGCGCTTGGTCGTGCCTGTTTTAGGGCTTAGGGCTGATGCTGACCGGTACTACTCGTGATGCACTCGATGCCGGTATAGGTTAGCATCCGTGTTCGATTGGCGATGGGGCAGAGGCATGTCGGCCTCATGAAACAGGATGCTCGACTTCGAAACACGCTCGCCCGTCCTACACCGCCCAATCGAGGCGCTGCGGGTGGCGCCCCATGGCGTCCCAAGCCTGTCCACTGATGAAACAGCATGCCGAACTATCTTGCTACACGCCTCGTTCGATACGTTGACATGTCGCAGCACCAAATTGCCCTGTCCTCGCCTTGCGTGTTTTAAGGCTACACGTCACGGTAACTGCGCATATCGGTCGATGCAACTGGCTTTGGCTGTTTCAATCTTCTCGAGGCAGCAGTTGTCATGCAACACCTGAGTTTAAAGGGGCCGAGGGACGTCTTTGCTTTCGGTCTTGTTTGATATTCTCGTCCCGGCCATATCCCTGATCAGAGTCCCCCGGTCACATCGTATGCGAAGGATTCCTTCCATGATCGCTTCTAGAAGCATTAATCATGATGTGTGTTTTTTTTATTCTCCGATTGACTCCTGCATCGGCTGAGGCGCTTCCATTGCTTGCTTTGCGAATTCAGGGTCCAGCAGCCATGCACTGCAGCCTAAGATTGGGGGCGCTCATAGCTGAGGCACGTTAATGCCACAGTCCCACAGAGAGGCGATGCTCCAGTTCATCGAATCTCCGTTCCAAAATAGAATGGCAATAGCTGAGGCATGTTAATGCCAACCAAATAGCATTGAATCTCCCCTTTGGAGAATAGACGTTTGCATGGCCACGTGCTGCAAAATACGAGCCGTGGGACATGGCTCCTGCACCTCCTGAAATGAAGCAGAAGCGTGCTCGGCCATCACTTCGGCTCAAACGAAGATCCTCACCCGCCTCGCGATGAACGTTAACAGACGGTCACGTCACTGTTATCACAACAAGCTCCAAGCGCCAGTGCCTTCACCGCTCTGCTCTGCCCTGTCACGACGCTCTCGGAGTGACATCCGAGTTGACCCATTGATGTCCCCAGGTCATCCCTGGTCTTGCGCATCCCGGCAAGTATAGCATAACGGTATGCCCACGCCACTAGATTCGCGAACGGCGTATATCCCAGAAGAGATAATCAGCTTGGTGCTGTTAATGCCTCGCACAGAATGCTGCGGACCTGGGCTGGATTCGCCAGAACAAAGTGTTACCGCTGAGAGCGCGGCATGATGGTTGCGACGAGGTCTAGAAGCGCAGCATTGAGAGGAAGTCCCGTGTTCTCATTCTACATTGGCTTGCTGGGTTTGTTAGGCTCGAAAGGACTGAATAGATATACGTGGAGATGGCATTCCTACCGCCCGCCTAACCTGAGCCAAAAATGACAACACCAATTGTTACTGCACAAAGCGCCACATGAGATTGGAACGATCGCGACAAGACCTAGAACTCCGGGACGTTGAGCGTAATTCTTTCTTTGCCAGAATGACCTGATCGGAGCGCCGGGGATGTCCAAAGTGTATCTAGGTCGTCTTCGTCCCACAATAGGTTCCAGATTCGGAGTGAAAGCTGTGCACAGAGTGAATAGGCATGATTACCACATACCTCCACACCAACTCAATTTACACCCACAGCAGACATGAGACTTCGCCACCTTCCCGCGTCCCTCATCCACTCAACACATCGCAAAATATATCAACATACGACGCACCCAACAGTGACAGTCACAACTAGGTCTACAAGTCCGGAACGTTGAGGCGTATTTCCTTCTTCTCTCAGCCGATCTGGACACGGCGTCCTTGTCTGCTGGAACCGACCTGGCCAGCGCTCAAACGCTCGAGACGTTGCAAGGTTCCTTGGGACTAATCCTAGTGGAAAAGAGGAAAACAAAGGATAATAACAAGTCGTCACAATAATGTCATGCAAAAGCCGTTCTCGTCCACAAAACTTAAAAAAGACGTGTCTGGTAAACGTCCGACACTATTGTGAAAGCACCTGCTGAGATCGTTCAACGCACACACAGGCAAAGACCGTTGAAGCACTCGTCAGACCAAATCATTCGTAGAAACACCATGTCACAACATCACACCACAGCAACCTTGTCCGCTTCCTAAACTTTAAAAAAGGTTATATTGATATAGAGAGAAACTCGCCGACTACCCTTCAATACCCCATCTCATCCTCGCACAGTCCCCATCGAAATCGTACACATAGAATCTCCATCCCCCGCAGAGCGCCAAAAGCCATTATCCGTCTTCCATCCAACATGCACATGTAAAGCTTCCTCGCCTCAATATTGCATAACATCGCCCCCCTTCGCCCCCATCCATGTCCATCCCGCAAGTTCAAGAGAGAAGAAAACCGGTTTGCTTTTTAGGCAAATATAACAACGCAAAGGAAACACATGCACACATGTGAAATGGGACACGGGTTTGAAAGTGAGATATCGTGCTTGCTACTGCAGTTACATTCCCCGTCACCAGCCCGGACATGATATATAAAAAGAGAAAACAAGAGCTTTCGTGGATAGAAAGACACAAGAAGAGGAATAGATCAAGTGGTATGAAAGGAAAGCCGCAACAAAATAAAGACATTTGACCGGGCGCCTGAGACATCAGTAGGCAACCGCAACCCGTAGCCACATCGATGCCGTCCCTTTCCAACATCCAACAGAACGTGTGTGAGGTGTGAGTATTATATTCTTTAAAAAGTGTGAGGCAGCGCTCCGATTTCTCTCCTGACTGATGAGATGCAGCAAGGGGTATGGTATTGCCAGGAGGTTGGGAGATCGCTGTCGTAGGTGTAGGTGTAGTTTGCCAATATTATAGGGAGTGATAGGGCGCACACGTTCGGATTGGCGTCGTTACATGGCGTCGTAGTTGTAAGAGTAAGGCTGACGGCACTTATGCCCAGATGCGCAGCTATTGACAAGTTAGCCGTCTGCGAAATGGAGTGTAGGAGGATAGAAACAAAGGCCGCGGTAGAGTGTATCCATATTGTCTTCAAACACCAATATGAACACCAGGATTCTTGCGGGGAGATCCACCACATAGATCAGAAGCAGAGAGAGGAAAACACCACGTACCATCGAGTCCCATGAACCAGTGCACAGACTAAGCGCGTCGTTGCTGACGCCGAGACAGCTGACACGGTTGTCGTGTCCTTGCAATGTGCCTACGCGTTCGCCGCGAAGTACGTCCCAGACCTGTATACTGTTAGCTTGAGGAATAGGTAGACATGGCGCTCTATGCTTACCTTGCACTCAAAGTCGTCGTAACCTGCGAATAGCAGTCTTCCGGAAACGGAAAAGGCCACGGATGTAATACCACAAACTGGCTCGGGAATCTGTCGTCGCACAAATTAGTAATCCAAATATCTGATGTATCCAGGATGTCACTGTGCGTACCTGGTATGACGCAAGCTCGCGGTCGGCGCGGATGTCGAACAGACGGCAAGAGGCGTCGTCGGAACCGGTACCGAAGGCGTTGCCGTTGGGGAAGAATTGGATAGCATTGATGTCGGAGTCGTGCGCGGCAAAGGTCTGCACGCACTTCTGCTGTCTGATGTCCCACAGCTTGGCGAAAGCGTCGCAAGCACCAGAGACGAATTGGTTGTGGTCAAGCGGGTTGATGCTCAAGCTCATTACGTCGCCGAGATGGTCGGCGAATTCGTGTACCTTGGAGCCGGTCTCGAGATCCCATAGCACACAGGTCATGTCACCCGACGATGTGAGGATGCGCTTGTCGGAGATGAATCTGCAGCAACTGAGGTAGCCCGAGTGGCCAGACAGCTCGCGCGCCACGCGTGTTGGGCCTTCCCGAGCCGACAGGTTGTAGATGGAGCAAATGTTATCGAGACCACCGCAGGCCACGTAGTTGCCAGACGGCGAGTATGCGCATGTCATGACCCAGGATGAGCGCAGGGGGATGGCGTGGACCTTGTTTGTCGTGTAAGCGTCCCAGATGATGAGCTTTCCGTCCTGCGAAGCGGAAACGAGATGTCTGCGGTCGGTCGACCAGTGCATGGCGTAGATCTTGGCAAGATGGCCCTTGAGGGTGCGCTTCGTCTTCATGGTGAGGCGCGGCAGAGCCTCGACACGGTCTCTGGCGACATCGCGAACTGCGCATCGTGTTAGCCGTCTACGGGGTGTGGTTGCGGTGTGCCAGCCCGGCGGAAAAAGAACATACGGGTGGTGTCGGCCAGCTCATCCTTCTTGCGCTTTATCCTGTCCTTGAGCGCCTCAGCGTCGCGTCGGGCGAGCTGGATCTTTTGCTGGATGGTTTCTTGGTTCATATCGGCCATGTATCCAGGTGCTACCGGGTGGTAAGGTGTAGGTCGCGAGAGGCGCGAGACGGCGAGGCAGGCGAATCCAGGGGCCTCCTAGGGAGCGCGACAGCCGGGTGGACGAGGAAACGGCGGAAGAAGCGACCGACAAGCAGCAATGGCGAGAAAGGCGCGCAGAGCAGATGCAATTGCTTGCGCAACGAGAACAGCGGCAGGCAAACGGTCGTGGGGGCTTGAGGATGGAAGGGTTGCTTGCGAGTGCTCTGGAGATGAGTGAGGTACAGGAGCGGCCCGGGGTGAGCTTAGCTTGGTCTAGCCGAGCGCTGGAGATCAAGGGCCTTCCTCCGGCAGAGAATGCAACACGCACACACACACACACGAAAAGCGCGTGACGTATACTTTTGGAATATTACAATGTGAATAGAATGCTAAACGCCTGGCATGCTTCGTGGCCACGTCAATGTCTGCACAATGGAACGCGACGCCGGCGAGTGCTGTCGTTGCTCCTCCTGACGAAGAAGGCGCGTTCTGCAATCTCCTGCAGCGCACCTCCTCCTTTGGGGCTGCCGAGCCACGGACGAATCAGCGGCGAGGAGCCCCAATGACCCGCGTCCGCCGCTATACCGCGAATGCCTCATGTCCTGGCCCGCCCAAAAGTCTATTCATCGTTCCATTATCGCTTCGAGAACCGTCGCCCACGCCACCAATACCGCTGTGCACCTCCATCATGGCTGCACAGCCCAGCGCAACTGCACGCCTGCCCGTCGACGCCCTCTTCACCAAGGGACTGCCTAAGATTGAGGTACTGCTCCAGCCTCCTTGGTTCCGAGTCAAAGCGCCAAGCGACGCTCAGACTTCCGTTCGCTGCATTGCTAATCCCGCGACTCAGCTTCATGCCCACTTGACCGGCAGCATCAGTCGCCAGTGCCTGCACGACATATGGCAGACAAAGAAGGCGCGCCATCCTGCCTTCGACCTGCAAGATCCTCTGGTAGCTATTCCCACGGGAAAGGTCGACTATGATATCAAAACGTAGGCCTAGCTTAATTTGATCTGCCTTGCCTGTTTGCCGGAATTGTCCCTGTAACACCGGCGTGCCGTTGGGGAAGACGATCCAGCACTTTACCCTGGAAGCGAGGTCGTAGCCAATATTCTCCTGACAAATGGTGACTGGTCGCATCCCGCTGGTCGTCTCAAACCACCGGCCCACCAACGTGGAAGACATTAGCAGACGTCTGACAGCTACGTTAGGTTCTTCCCGCTGTTTTCCTCGTACATATACCGCCTTTGCAGCGATTTGCCCAGTGTCCAGTACGTGTAGACCAAACGTCTAAGGCGAGCTGTGGTTGATCGACTCAGGTATTCAACCAAGGCTGTGCTGCAAGACTTCCAAAATGACGGTGTCGTCTATGTTGAGCTTCGAACAACCCCAAGAACAATTCCTGCAGAGAATGTAACCAAGGAAGATTACGTCAAGACCATCTTGGATATACTAAAGGCCCACAACGACAATGCTAACAACACGATGCGAGCTTTCCTCATATTGTCCATCGACCGCCGCAACACCGTCGCCGAGGCAGAGGAGGTGATTGATCTTGCCATCAAGCATCGGTCTGCCGGAGTCGTCGGTGTTGACCTCTGCGGCGACCCAGCGAAAGGTGACGTGCGCATTTTCGGCGACAGCTTCGCGCGAGCAAAGGCTGCAGGACTGAAGATCACGCTGCACTTTGCCGAGAGCGAGCCTTCGTCTTCAGACTTGGAGCTGCAGACGCTTCTATCATGGCAGCCCGACAGAATAGGTCACGTTATACATGTCAAAGAAGAGTTTCGAAAGACTATTGAACAGCACGATATCGGTGTTGAGCTGTGCCTCAGCTGTAATGTGCATGCTAAGATGATCACGGGTACTTACTCCGACCATCACTTTGGAATGTGGCGGCAATCCAGTGTTCCGGTCGCACTGAGCGTATGTGCCGCTCCGGAAAGTGTAGCGTCCTGGTGATGACTGACGCATTGCAGACTGACGATGTTGGCGTTTTTTGCAGTCCGCTCTCGCAAGAGTACTATCTTGCAGCGCAGCACTTTGACTTGAGCCGTAACGACATCAGATCACTTTGCGAGCGCGCAATCGATTCGATCTTTACCGGTCCGGATGAACATGCCCGTCTCAAGCAGATCTACGCGACTTGGGACGGATGGGTGTTGTGAATCAACGTTGAAGCGAGGAACAGCCACTTGAAATTTCTGTCCAGTCAAAATGACTCCAATATGACGGAAGGTATCCTGCCACGTCTTATCTTAGAGTCATCGTTGAGTACAAGATCTTGCATTACAGCTTCCTTCCCTCCATCTTACAATTTCTCTTTTATAGATGTCATTACGCTGACACCGATCAATCAATGTAAATCTACACAGCTCACCCACGTCTACTGCTCTTTTCCCACTTACCGTTCCATATTTCCAGTGCCATCAAGAACGCCCAGAGCTTCAGCATGTCTGTGACTCGATTCGCCAGCTCCATCCTTACGATCTTGCTCATCATTTCTCTAATCCCAGAGAGCACCGCCCAAAGTTCCTCGCGAGTGGCCTCCGCAGCCTCTCGAACTAGCTCACAGGCCTCCTCCCAATTCGCTTCCCCTGGCTCTTCTCAAGCTCCTTCACAAGCGGTTTCTCCGACGTCCTCAGAGCCCCTGTCTCTTGGCTTGAGGTATGACGATTCATGCGGACCCGAGTTCAGAGACATGATATCGTGGGCGATCGACGGTGCTATACAGATGGCTATAGACACTGTTAAAGACACGACAGATCACGAACATGATCCTGCGTTCTGGGAATTATATGGTCCCCGGGCAGTGGAAAATCTGACTTCAATCCGTAGCGCATTCGAACAAATTGCTCATGGCCCGTGGGATATCGAGGCCTCATGCAACATCGATGATACAGATCCAGCATGCGGTGATCCATTCATGTACGGAGGTACCGGGGATATGATACCGGAAAGACAAGCAGTGAAACGTGATGAAAGCCAGACCTTCTCAGCGAAACTTACGTTTTGTCAAGATTTCTTTACTTTGCCACCATTAGGCCACCGCATTCAGCTGGGCGTCAGTAGCGATGGTCCATATCTTGGCACTCGATACGATTTGGGGTATTACCATGACAACCAAGGCAAGTCGTTCAGTAAGGTCAGCGATACATATGTGCTAACCAATCAGCCACTACCCTTCTCCGCTCGCTCTTCCGCTACTTACCGGTAACAGAAGGCCTCAACCGGCCGATTTCGGACCTCTGGGTCCTCTTACGGCAGAATGCTGGAGATACAACGTGGTCAGCATGTTACGGCATATATTGTGCCAAGGTACTGGCTCGTCTCAACGATCCTTTCAATGACTGGGCGTCAGTAAATGGTATGTTCAATGCTCGGCATTGTGATAATTCCGCCGCCCTAACCCTTGTAGCTGACAGCTACGCTCTATATGCACTTTCGAAGTATGTCGCGCCGCGTATTAGGGGTAACTTCACGTTTCTACCGGAGATGAAGGATTATCTGAACGGATGGAAAGCATTTGCTGTACCCCAAGGTGCAGCAAACGATGCACCAGCCGTCGTGTACGACCTCTACGGTAAACCTACATTTTCTCAGACCTACTACAACGCAACTCGATTACAGAGTTTCACTGGGACTTTCGATCCAGATAACATTCTAGACATCGATCGGAAAGCAGACATATCCCACACTCCCTTCCTTAAAAATATAGACACCTATCCTTCGACATACAGCAGCGAACTGGCTCGGTGGGAGAGCGAGTTCACTCCGGCATTTCAAGACTCGCTCATCAACATCGATGCAACGTACGACCGTACCTGTTTCGGCGACACTACCAGTTCACATTCCGAAACCAACTACTTTGACGGATACGAAGCTCTCGATTTCGCCAGGACCTTCTGCGAAGACATCGTGGCTCACCGCGAAGAAGGAAATGACCTGCCATCAACTGTACGCGCTGCGCTATGGACGAAGAACTTTACCAGGCAATATACACTGACGAAGATCAATCCTGGTATGCAGTTAGTTTTCGCCGTGACTGGTGATCCTGCTTCCTACATCGAATCTCGAAGCGCCGAATGGCCGTTCGACGGGCCTGACATATCCGCCAACGTTGACCACTGTGTTTTAACCTACAAAGATATAATCAGCCATGTAAGTGAGATGAAATAGACTAACCACTCTTCGCTTTTCGAAAGGTACGAGCGTTGCTAACGTACGAAAAGTGCGATACCGACTCCACCAAAAGAAAAGGCGGCTCTCTCAAACTAAACGATATAATCTACGGCGTCCACACCATCCCGGACAATCGAGAAAGCAGCGGCCCCTGGATAACAGACTACGCGTCTTTAGGCGAACTGGAATGCGCAGACTATAATGTCACGAGCTACTGGCGTATAGCTTCTTTCAACGAGAAGTCGCGGGTGGAGAGTCATAGCCTTCTTCCCCCACCCATCGCCATCACCGATGTAGATCGATTGAGCAAGCTGTGTACGTGTTGGTACTCGGAGCATCCTTTCACTGCGGATATGTTCTGCAAAGAGCCTGCGAGCTCGTGTGAGGATTTGGCGAGGAATGATAAGAGGGTGGCGGCTGTTTGGAAGGATTTTGTTTGTTGATCGTGATGGTTGGAGTATAGGTAGGGTAGATTGCTGAATAAGACTAGTGTTTTGTAGCACGGTGAGATACTAGACTCGTATCATATCACTTTACCTAGCCTTTTTGCCATGCTTAATCATCGAACGAAGTGGCCGCCGCAGCGGTCGCGGTGCGCCTAGGTCGCGCTGACCTGAATGATCTAAGGAGCTGACGCTTTCTTGCTTGTTCGCTTGAAATATAAGCTTACTGCCATGTTACATCTGGGCTACGCTGGCGCCGAGCCCATTCCGTTACGTCTTCTACCCTGCGGATCATGACACAGGACCATGCTCGAAAGGACTCCAATCACCACGTACGTTGTGCAAGTAAAACAAAGTCAGCTCATAATAAGCCCTTAACGTTCCTTTTTTCGCCGTTCATGATTTTGCAGTGAATAGTAGCAACAATTGCATGCGAGAATCTACTAGGATGGAAAGCTCGTATCGAGGCATCCTTGTAACAAAATCATTGACACCTAGCCGTTCGTCTTCATCAACGAAGTGGTACTCCATCCTGAAGGCGTCTTTGCGCTTCGGTCACAAGGTCCCAAATTTTAGCGCATTTTTCTGGCTTTTCAAAGCTCAAAGCCATGACGTTGCCAGCTTTATCGGTCCATAAAATGAGTGTATCCCGCTGTTTCTCATACCGGTCATCTTTGGAGACTTCCATCTGGAGTAGATGTTCGCGCGTCTCACCCGTAACCACGATAAACACATCTTCTTTCGAATCTATTACTCCATGGCAGATGCCAGTGCCTTTATCAAGCCAGTCATTTGTTTTACGCTCGTAGACCCTGAGGCGAATTTGTTCACTCCACCATGGCGCATGGAGTGGTTTTCTGAGTGGCAGCGTCGTGGAAACACTCTCAGGCGTGTGGACACTTGCAGGACTAGATGACCGCGAACTTGGGCTCGGAGCTCCTCTAGAGATGGGATATTGTTCTGTCCCCTGCGCTGCTTGCAGCAGTGCCCGTATCGCCGATAGTGAAGGTGCTGGTTGCTGTGCTGGTTGCTGCACTCGTTGCTGCAATTGTTGCTGCCGTGCTGTCGTCATGATGATGAGCTTTTGTTTGATGTTTGAGACGTATTTGTCCTTTGTTTTTGAAGACACAAAGGTCTATGGAGGTGGAGGCACGAGATCAGTATGTATCGCACATCCATACAGTACCATCATTACTTACCTGTGTCTCGTACTGGAGGGCGGCGCGCATGGACTCGACTTCGGCGATCTCAGGCTTCAGCAGACGGTACTGAGTGAAGAACTGAAAGCCCAGCCGACCGCGCTCTTCTGGCGGTGTGCCCTTCTGCCAGCCAGCTGGAATCTTGCCCTGCTGCTGCTGGACAAGATAGTGCTGGATGAAATGATGGATTCCTGCGGCGGCCCGGTTCTGTTGCAATGTCTTCGGAGGACTTTCCGTCCGACGTTGAGCTTCAGGGTGCGCATCAAGGCTACCTAGAGGACTTGGTGTTGGCACATGGCCGCTTGTTCCTCGTAAAAGCGTTGCTTTCCGACGCCTGATACTCTTTGACACGACTTTTGGCCGCGAGTCGTGGAAGTCTCGGATGTGTTTTCTCAAATTCTGTTGAGAGGCGAAAGGGAGGTTATATTTGCAGCCCGAGTGCGTGCACAATAGAGCCGGCTTGTGCGTTGTTTCGTGTTGCGTACGAAGATCATGAGTTGGAAACCCTGCCAACATGCCTGTACACCCAGGAAAGCGACATACGAAAGCGTATGAACGATTGAATGTCTTAAATATACTGAGTTGTTCTCGTGTGAGCCCAGGAACCGTTACTGCTGAGAGCAGATAATCGATTTGCGTAGCGTATTCATGCTGAACGACGCTGAGAGGCGTAGGATCCAGAGGTTCTCCTAACGTACACACGTTAGCCATCCGTCAGTCGCAATACAAAAAGAGCTTACGGTAGTCAGCAGGATTTTCGAAGTGCATTTGTTTGGCATGGCGGTATACGACATAAGCACAAAGAACTTTGTACTCATGTTCATAGCGCTCAAGGTATTGCAAACGAGGTTCTAGAGTCTGCGCGGCGAGAATGTCTACTTGTAATTCATCTGTCGGATCTAGATATCGTGTATACTGGTGGGAATAGATGAAGAAGAAGGTCGCCAAGAAAGCTTCCAATTGCCTGTCTGTGGAATGTGAGACTTCTGCTGCGAAGGCAAGAAGATGGTCAAGCCAATGCTCTTGAATATATGGCTGAAGAGAGTAGAAACATCTACCAACATCGACTGCTTTTTGCGTAGTCGGGATGTTAGAACTGGAAAGGTTGAGGCTGAAAGTAAGGTAGTTCAAACAAGTGATGGTAGTACAGCTCTCCGCATCCCGTAGCGAAATGAAGTTACTTTTCGTGAGGTACCTTCATGCTGTCAGCTAATTCTCCCCGCAACATATGAAAGAGCTCACTCTTGGACAGTGAAATGGACGAAAGAGATCTGCCCATTATCATCCGTCTGTATCAGGGGTTTGCAGAGGTCCACGATGTTTGGTGGGAGTTTTGATCTCTCCGATAACGAGACGGCTCCCGAGGCAAATACGATGGCATCCTGAAGTTCTATGACCCTCAGTGGCCGTCTCGAGCAGAGCATCCACTTCAGTATGTTGGTGGTCCGCTCTCGCGATTGAATCGGGTAAAGCATGATTCTGTGTACAATGCGAGAGTAGCTGCGCATGATCAGTATGAGGCCTCGATGGAAGACCTGTGAACTACTCACAAGTCATGTAAGCTATGTGGCATGTTGGCCACTGCGTTTTCCAAGTCATCAAGATTGTATGCGTCAAACTCTAGTTGTGCTAACACTAGCCGCACCCAGAGGAACATTCCTGGGGATAGTCAGCACATCACCCGAAATTCAGGTACGTATCATATGATCTCTTCGCACTCTGCCCGGACTATCCGGTGCAACACATTCGTCCACACATTGCCATTCACAAAGGATAGAGAAGCAGACATACCCTGGGATTTTACCACCACGTTTCTTTTCACATCATCGAGAACGTTGTCGACACCAGCAGGGTTCGCAAACCTATCCCGGATGGTTTCTAGGCACTTGGTAGCGTATCGTGTGATATCGGCTGTCAGCGCATCGCTTTCTTGGTCTAGTGCTACTGTTGGCCTTTTTGACAACTTCCCAACCAACTCCAGGATGTCTCGACTGACAATAAGGATCTTTGTCGGCGCACAAGCCTGCATTGGGTTCTCGAGCTGTAATATTGAAACAAGGACGTCCTTGACGGGGGTGAGATCGCATGGTTTTCCATGTACATCGTATCTGATGCACTCATCGATGCCATCAATCAGAATTCGTGGCATCACCAGCTGTGGGACCAAGTTGGAAAGAATCTCTTGGAGACTTCGAATAGAGAGTGGACGGCCCTCGGCGACGAACTCCTCGTACACATAAGTAGCAAGGTCAGAGTGTTGCCGAAGGATTTGGGAAACTAAGGTAGCGAGGATAAAAACCACGGGGTCAGGGTATGTGCTGCTGACGACGTAGCTGTAAAAGCAGAACAAAACTGTCGACTGTCGAGGTGCACGGAGGAATTGCACTATCTTCGCGCAAAGAGTGCTTTTGCCTTGACTTCTTGTTAACTTCGCTTCAACGAATATACTCAAGTTTCTTGAGGCAACTGACCAGACCCAGGCTTGCCTTTCAGCCATAAAATCGGTCCACCCCGTCCATGTTGAAGCCACTGCCTCATACTTCGGTGTTTCAGAATCCAGTCAGTTGTACCGTCGCAGCAGTCATTGATGAGTCTGTGAAGCAAATTGTCTTGGTAAGCCTGACCGCAATGAGGAACGGTCTCGAGGCCCAACCAAGCAAGTGCTGCTGTAAGCTGTGATGTTGACCGGTCCTTCTCAGTCTTTGCTACGGCTTGGAGTGCTTCTCTACGCCATTGCATGGCGTCCGAGACGAGGTATGCATTTGCCTCTTGGTCAATCAACGTGGCGTGCTTTGCGAGACTATCCAGGATGCAGTTGAACCTGCTTCCGAATTGGCCCCAGGACGATTTGAAGAAACACATCCAGCCTAAAGCTAGTCAGAAGCGGAAACCGCATGCACTATGAATAGGGGAGATTACCGTTACGTCTAAACAGTTTGTATGCATGCTCGTGGAACGTTAAGATATCACTGTAGACGACTGCAAGTGCTTGCTGAAAGTCAGGCTTATCTTGCAAAGCGGTTCCTAGCCGATCGAATCGAGGTAGCATCGCTGCGATCTGACTGTAGGCTGCTAAAAGCTTCTCAAAAGCGCCGATGTGGTCCGTAGCGAGCTAGACCTTGTGAGTGACATTGCGAACGTGGGCGCCGAAGGGCTCTGACCTGCATCATCAATTTGATCGGTGCCTTCAGGAAATGAATGTCAACACAATCTTTGCTGGAGAGTTTGATGTCCCAACTCACCCATATCCAGCTTAAGAACGGGGTGCCGTTGCATAGCACCTCGATAACTTTGGAGTACGCTTCAAGGCCATTCAGAAACGGCTCCAAGCGCTTCATGTTCCGCATGCACTGTCGCGCAGCAAGCTGACGCTCAACCTCTTTCGCAGCATCGCGAACATCGCGCAGTGTGGTGTTGCTGAACTCACGATCATCAGTGCGTGAGTATCGCTGTACCGTCTTTTCGAAGCTATCGAAACTCTCTTGGAAGGTTCTTCGCGCCTGGGGCGTGAGTGTGGTAGGCTTCGAGGCGGTGGGCAGGCTAGGTTTCGGGGCCCCGCACAAACGCGTTCCGGCCATCGATCGCGACGCGTGAACACAGTGCCGATGAAGCGAGGGATGGTGGTCAACGTTACAATAAAGGAGTACGCTGATGGGAGATGTCCGCGCATCTCAGCACATATCAGGCGCACCTCCCGGCGACTCGCGAGGCAGAGCCGCTGCGCATGACGCGCAGCTAATGCGTGCTGCAGCTGCCAGCACAGCCGCCACAATGGCCACACTCAGCCTTCCTCGTCGCGACAACATTTGCTCTCCGCATCCATGTAGAATTTTTGTCGTATTCCCGCTTCACTATCTTTCTTGTCGCGTGATGAGCACATCTCGATTCGAATCCGGCCGGCTGCATCGTACCCGGTCAAATACACAACAGCAGTGCCTGGGTTGAGTATTGCTGCCGTACCACGATAGCACAGCCCACCAGCCTAGGTGGGACATCATGTCTCACGACGAATTCGAACAACGAGCTTTCAAACGGCGTCGACTCAGTAACGAATCGTTCATCTCCGAAATTGAAGGCTGCCAGCGTCGTCATAATCCATATGGATGTAGCTCAATCGAGACCTGGGGAACTTCAGCATTAGTAGCAAACGGCGTCTCAACCCAATATGAAAAATTCGACAATTCGAGAGAAGTAACCGTTGGACTTAACGATGTCTCATTCAGTTGGCAATACCAGTGCACTTCTTTGCATGCATCAGCTTCACCGCAAACATTGGCACGCACCACAGAGGTATCGTTACCAAGTTACTCGGTAAATCATGAGCACTTGCTTTGTCAAGATGCGCAGCCCAGCAAGTCCCCACCAGCGATATCCGATCCAGGAGTTGTAGGCGCATCCCCACCAGATGTCGCTGTTATCAGTGGCGAAGAGGCCATGCCCGTATGCTTTGGTATGGTAAGTCAAATCTCAATCTCTGGTGTTCTCTATCGCTGACTTTGAGATAGATCAAGGATTTGCATGCCGAGGTACAATCATCTCACGTCTCAGATTCTCTTACTGGCTGCGTATCCATGGGCTTTTCACCACCCAACCAATTAATCTATAAAGAGGCTTGTATCGGGCGCTTCGACGACAGAAGCGCAGAAATACTTTGTGTTATCTGTGAAGATCCTCTGGTTGAGTTGCAGCTAATGCTGACACGCGTAAAGCGTCCTCATCAGCGAGGGAGTGTACCATCAATATCAGCTATCCTGTATGGCCCCAAATGGCTTTCCGAGGATATAGGTGCTTTCTGTCAGGACTCTGAGATCTATTTGCAGGATCCCCTGGGTTGTGATCGAGACGTACTATACTGCAACCCTCACCGTATTTCCTCGGACCAGGGCGTTTGCTGTACAACTTTCGAGCTACAGAGGTCCAGTACTGACGTGGTCGTGACAAATCTACATATTTCAGATGCACTGGATGTTCTCAGTGCCCCAAGAACACTAGGTGAAGTGGAAACACCCCGCTGGTTGAAGACCAAACTGTTGCTGTAAGTTATGAAGTCGCATCGTACGACGCATCCTGTTGACTCAGATCAGGCATCAGCGGCAGGCCTTGTTCTTCATGGTCAAGCGGGAGATGGGATGGGCTCTCGAAGATGGAGCTTGCGATGTGTGGACAAAGCTCACACGCAGCACATCTGCTTTGTAAGAACAGTCGCCCGTACAGCATGATTTGGCTGACAGTAAGCAAACAGCTATCGCAACAATATCACTGGTGATGTGCAAACAGACCAGCCGCGTTCCTTCAAGGGTGGCATACTGGCGGATACGATGGGGCTAGGGAAGTCTCTCAGCATGATTGCGTTACTCGCACATGGCATTGACTCGTTGAACGAGGGGGAGATTTTTACCAGACCAACTTTCACAAGTCATCGCGATGTCGATACGACGTTACTTATTGTCCCACCATCTCGTAAGTCATCGCAAGATACGTGTTCATTTCAAGCATACTAACAGCAGAAGTCTTGCAAACGTGGGAAGAACAACTACAACAGTGAGTCGAATTGCAGCGAGAACGACCAAATGGCTGATCTTTTAGACATTCATGCGATGTGACTTTGCTGAGAATAAGACGACATCATGGTCTCAGCCGGATCACGACTATCGAGGAAGCTCAATCCCACCGTTTGGTCTTGACAACTTATCAAACAGTGGAAACTGAGTGGAGAGAACATTCGTCTTCAGCATCGTCACCTCTTTTCTCCATCAATTGGCGGCGCATCATTCTAGATGAAGGTACGTAGAGAAGCGCCCAAGAAGGCTACGTGGATCGCCACTAAGAAATGCAGCACACTACATCAGCAACCACCAAAGCAATACATGCAAAGCTATATGTAGTCTTGAGGCTCAGGCGCGTTGGGCTGTGACTGGCACGCCGCTGCAAAATAGGCTCGGAGACGTTGCGACGTTATGCCAATTTCTACGCGTTCATCCATATGACGATCGAGAGACATTCAACAAAGACATTATCGACCCCTGGAAGGCCGGTGATAACAACACTGCTATCTCTCGGCTGAAGCGGCTTCTCCAGTGTATTCTCCTGCGGCGCAGCAAGGGATCTGTTCAGTTGCCAGAAAGGACCGACCTGAGACATACATTGCAGCTTAGCGAAGAAGAGCGACAGCATTACGCAACAGCAGAGAACAACGTTGCGAGATCGATCGATGCGGTACTAGGTGCAAACACCAACACGGCGTTCAATGTCACTAGTATCATTCAACAGATCAACGAGCTTCGTCTGATCTGCGATCTCGGCATCTATCGCAAACCACCAAAGCCAGTTTCATTTGCCGAAAACAACACTTGGAATACACGTGTAGCTCAGAGAGCTTTGAACGCTCTTACAGCGACGAATGGCATATGTTGCAAAAGTTGCGGCGAGATACAGGATGGTACAAGATACGACAACAGCTTCGGTACAAACCTCTACGCAACCAGACTTTGGCTATTCTCCTGCTTCAGCATCGCCTGTGAGAGTTGCATGGAGCGGAACCCATCGACTCGCTGTAGCTGTGTGCGTCAATGTCCTGTTGCTCTTGTCACACATGCGCCTGGGACGATGGATTCGGGAGCCTCATCTCCTGTCGAGTGGCCTTCTGACTCAGAAGAAGTCTTACCCACCAAGGTCAACGCACTCGTCGATGATCTGCTCAAACAAACGCCAGGAACTAAAAGGTTAGTTCTTCTATCAACCATCCTGAACCGGCTTGCAGCACCAGATCGACCTTCGATCACATCGCATGCTGACTCATCTTGTAGCATCGTCTTCACATTTTGGTCGTCAACGCTGGACCTCATCGAGAAGGGGTTATCGCGGGCTTCAATAACTTTTACACGCTACGATGGTAACACGACGCCTACCAATCGGTCTGTAGCATTGAACAACTTTCGTCGAAATCCAAACATCTCCGTCATCCTCATGACCATTTCATGTGCTGCGGTCGGACTAAATATCACTGCTGCAACACGGGCCTACATCATGGAGCCTCAATGGAATCCTACGGTTGAAGAGCAGGCGCTGGCGCGCGTGCACCGTATGGGTCAGACCAAAGAGGTGACCACGATACGTTTTGTCATGGCCGATACTTTCGAAGAGGTACGTGAGCGGTATTGAAGTAGTCGAGGCTATTCGCTAATGCCAAGTAGAGGGTCATAGAAACGCAGCAGCGAAAAAGGGAGCTTGCGGCGCTGTTGCTATCGACTGAACCACATGTAGAATCGGAACATAGTCTTGATCGACTGCGCGTAAGTCACACACACCTGGAGAAGCGGAGACAGCACTGATCCATACTTAGTATTTCCGGTCTTTGCTCAAATGATTGTTCGATGGATCAATTCAGGCGGCAGCGAATCTAACATAGCATTCTCAACTCGTGTTCGTGTTCGCGTTCGCGTTGCTCAAGCGCTGGTTGAACTGTACCGCTAAGTAAGGAGATGCTTTCATGACCGACATGAAAGAAGGAGAGCCAGTCTTTTGAGCAACACGTTGACACTATATTGATATGATGGATGTGCTAGTGATGAGACGCAGGTACAACGCTGTTGAGTTACACTGTATTGTATCGCAGTAGAAGTGTGTTCCTAAACACTTACTTAGCTTCATTGTATGCAGCTGTATATATACTCATTTGGAAACTTCATTGATTGCAACCGAAGCCATTAAACCCTGGCGCTCAACGTCGACGTTGACGTTGACACTATATAGCCGATCTATCTGAAGTTACCCGACTGCATCTCATCTCTTCATCATAGTATTACAATTACCACCTACTGCACTCTAAATCCCACGTATAATCCAACTTGACAAGAGACACTCGACCACGTGTTTCGACACCTCATGAACTTTGATATCACATCTGCTTCACCAACACCAATAAAACCACACTTGACGCCCCACCGAATAACATCAACAACCCAATTCATTATCAGCCTTGAATAACATCAACGACCCGCAAGCAGATGCAGGACGACAAGATCAGAAGCCAATCACGTGGAAAACAAAAGCAGGACATCTCAACAGCGTTAAAAAAGTTTATAAGTGTTTAAAAAAGGGACAAACAGCGAGGGTATTGAATATGATACATCGTAACAGAGAAGAAGAAGACGAAGATGCCGGCGCCAAAATGCTCCAGAAAAAAAGGGAATGCTACAAAGACATGACGAGACAAGAAAACAAGGGAACAGTAACAAGATAAAAAAGGTTGTCAAACAACAACCCCTTCTACCTCAACTGCCCTTGCACGTCATCAACAGTCCTCTTGAGCACATCTTCAATCTTCCACCTCGGCGCCTTAACCTCCTCCTTCTCACCCTTCTTCTTCTCAACCACCATACCATTGCCCACCTCCTCAGGCTCCAATCCACCCGCCACACCACTCGAAAACTTGAGTTGCAGCAGCTCACCCACCTGATCGCACGCCGTCAGCATCCTGTCCAAATCATCCTTTGTATGCGCAGCCGAGACACAGAACCTCGCTCTCGAGCTGACAAGCGGCGTAGCCGGGTATCCGACTACCACGACCGAGATCTTGCGCTTGAGCATCTCGTGAGAAAAGGCAGGCATCTTGGCTGGGTTGTACAGCATAACGGGGATAATGGGACTGTCGTCGTGGCCGTAGACGATGAAACCGAGACGCTTCAAGCCGAGGCGCAGATACCTCGAATTGAAGCATAGGCGCTGGAGTCGCTCCTCGCCCTGGCCGGGTACAATGGATCCGTCGATGATGCGAAGGGCCGAGGAGATTTGCATGAGCACGGGAGGAGCAGGCGATTCCGCAAACAGCATAGCGGCATTGGAAGTACGCAGTTTATCGATGATGGGCTTCTCAGCGGCGATGTAACCACCGTTTGCGCCGAAAGATTTTGTCAGGGTACCCATGAGGATATCGACTTCCGATGGGTCAATGCCGAAGTAATCGCATACACCACGTCCGCGGGGACCGACACCACCAACAGAGTGCGCTTCGTCGACGAAGAGGTTGAACTTGTACTTGTGCTTTAGGGAGATGATGCCAGGGAGATTGCACATGGTGCCTTCCATAGAGTACAGGCCCTCAACAGCAACGAGAATCTTCTTCCAGGGACGGTGAGTGCGGGGTTGGCCTTGGGAGATGGCTTCGCGGAGCTTGCGTTCCAGATCGCGCATGTCGTTGTGCTTGAACATGGTGACCATGGCGCCGGAGAGACGGGCACCGAAGCGGATGGAGGAGTGGTTGAGCTCGTCGGAGATCATGAGGCAGCCCTTTCCGACAATGGTGGGGAAGGTGGTGGCGTTGGTAACGAAACCCATTGAGAAGACCATGGAGGCGGGCTTGCCGACGAACTTGGCGATGAGGTCCTCGACTTCGACAGTGAGGTCCGAGGTACCGCTGTCGGAACGGGGGCTGGCCATGGAAATACCGTATTTGCGGATGGTGGCTTCGGCGGCGTCGGCACAGGGGCCTTCTGATTGAGCGAATCCGAGGTAGTTGTAGGAGCTCATGTTGAGGGTTTCAGTCGTGGTGCCGAGCATCTTGAAAGTGTTGTTTCCGTCGTCTGACTTGCGATCAAGCACGGTGATGAAGCGTCCCGGGACGCCAGTCGTCGGTCGGGAGAAGCAGTCGTTGATGCGCATCTTCAACCGCCGTGTGTAGAAGTTGTCAAAGTCGCTGTTGAGGGGCGCATATCCGTCCTTCTCCTGCAAATGGCTGTAGTGTTGCTTCCTGAAGCGCTTGCCGAAGAAGTCGCGAACATGTCCGAATACTATTAGGATTAAGTAGCTGATGTATGTAGTGAAAAGGAAATAATATGGCGGCTCGTCCTCGATGGGGTCGCCGAACTCGCCCTCGAACTTGCTCAGGTAGCGGTGCTTCTGAGAGCCGAGGGGACCGAACTGTGCGTGGGCGCGGGCAAGGCGGCGCTGCTCTTCTGGCGAAGGCGGCTGGAAGAGCGTCTTGGGCTCGGTGGGCATCTTCTCGCCAGTGGCCGTGGTCAGGTTGATGGTCGGGAGGGAGATTTGCGAGGGCGAGGGGTTGTTGAGAAGGGCCTGTTGCTGGGCGACAAAGGCTTCACGCAGGACAGCAGCGTCCGTCTTTGATCTGGGCGAGCCGCCGAAGAGCGATGTGAACTTGTTGCCCTTTGCGAAGGATGCTCGACGCGCAGAGTCGCGCTTCTCGCTAGAAGGATCGAGGGGGGGAGCAGGGGCGGTGGATGCGAACGGGTTGATGCTTCGAACAGGCATTGCAGCAATGGGACACCCCAATGGCGCTGTGGGTATTAAATTACGGGGATTGAAGGAGTCGTGAGCGAGTCGTCGCAGTCACGTCGAGTCGCTGCTGGCGGTGAAGAATGCACGAGTGTCGGCCGTGGGAAACGCTAGACGAGAAAGGGATCAGCAGGCGACTCCAAGGGAGGATTGGCAGGGTGTCGGCGAGCAACGGCTGTGCATGGGCTGGGAGAAGAGAGGAAGTGTGGTTGAGTCTTATGGGTGCTGATGCGCTCATGCACTCGGTCTTCGGTGGACAAAGACCGGGGCGGCAGTGCCGGATAGCGTGCTTGGTGGTCAAGCAAGCTCCAAGGAACGGGATTGGGCGGAAGGTGCAGCGGGAAGACGTACGTGATGTGCAAACAGTAGCAGGAGCCCGGGGCAAGACGAGGATGATGATGCTGATATGATGCTCGTCAAGCCGGTGTAGCGTGAATGCTTGGGTCGTCGCAACGCTTTTCGTGTTCCTGAGTGGCGCGGCCGTTTGCTACGAAGCACCAAGCACCAAGCTTCCAAGCCACCGTCTGTCGTGACGTAGAGATGGAGATTGACGGGCGGTAATGAACGACAAGATGTAGGTGCAGGAGAAGAAAAGCCTTGGAGCTTGCAACTCGACTTATCAGCGCCGTTGGCAAGGCAAGGGGGAATTGAGGATCCCTTGTCCTTCTCGCTCTCTCGCACCTCTGCTGCGCGAAACGACAGGCGGCCTTTGGTTGGCCCGACGAAATGAGCAGCCCCATCTGCCCGTTCCGCACCACGCCCAAGCGGGCCTCAAGTCAGGGGAACACGATGCTGATCGCTGCCACATCCCGAGCATCGCAAGCCTTGCCGGTCTAGCACACGACCCGCTGCTCGTCCGAGGGCTGCGAAAAAAAAAGCCTTGCAAGGCTATAAGTCAGGCCATAAAGTCTAGAGCTTGGCCTTCGATTTTCCCGCAACGGTGCGATCACGCGTCGGAGAGCCGCACGTCATCGACTACAGCAAATCATAACAAAATTTCAATCGTGAGCCTGACATAATCATCGTCGCCGCATGCTTTGTCAGTCTGTCAATCTGTCAGCTCATGCCTTTCTTACTCGCCCGTCCATGTGTTCTTGGCACAACCTTGTAGCTTGTAACCGGTCGCAGACACTACTCACACCACACCACATCATGCATAATCGACGATCTTATCGCATTGCTATTTCCTTTTCCAGCTTCACCTCTACCATACTACTGCGCTAGTAGCACATAAGCACATACTCCCTTATACCTCAAGACTCATGCTGCTGCCCAAAGTGTTTTCCGTAATCACCCCGCGACAGTTTCACTCCATGGGAAGAGCCTGTGTAGCAGTAAAATAACACGTTACAGCCTTTTCGTAGACCATGGCATGTGATTGGCCGACCCAAGTTTGCAATCAGACAGACCGATCCTGTGGAGGACTCGACGGGTTGGCCCGAAGGCTACCTTCATTAATGCGCTGTCAAATGGGCTGTGTAGGCTGCCTGTTAGTGTAGCAAAATTGGGCAAATTGCGATGTGACTTTCATCTCGTAACCCGGGATACGAGACCAGTTTGTCCATCGTAATTTCACTTTGGTATAACATGGCACTTCCCCGCAGCTGCTCTAGCTTGACTTTACACTCTGGACTACACATGCTGCCAAAGTCAAATGTTAGCCTGCATTCATGATGATGGAGGATGCAATCCCCAGGTTTGTTCAAGTAATGTAGTATATTTGTTTACTGATCTTGAAAGATACAGTTTTCTTTACCGGAGATCCCCTTGGAAAGGCTACAACTGTCAAGCACGCACAGCGGCTATGTAATCCACAACAACAACCCCCGCAGCACAAGAATCTCCTCAAAAGGTGGCAATCCTCTCTCTCTCTCTCCATCCTGCCAAAAGGGATCCGACAAGAAAATTCCGAACATCCGAGACGCACGCAACAAATGAAACAATGGCTAGCTCGCAACACGAAAAGGAAAAGATGAACAATGATCAAACGAGAAACCAAGAAATAAGAGACGACCTGCATGTGACTGCCAACGTCTTGTTGTTGCCAACACCAACCAAGCGCAGGTTCCACCAGTC